AAATAAAATGAGGAGAATTTCATTGTTTTATAGAACAGAAAGCACAACTATGTAATGACTCAAGAAGACTGTTGGAAGTTCAGTGATGACTTGAACCACATCTCACCTTTAGAAGTTCAAAAATTTTGTTACACTCAGAGACAAATAAAACTGCATATTGTAACATGGAAACATTTGAAATATTCAGAAAATTTTCCAAAAAGAAAGAACATTTCTTGAAAAGGAAAAAGAAAGAAGCTACTGAATGAAGGAGGAACTGTGAGGGGGCAGGAGGGTGGGAGGGTAAAGGAGGGAGGTCAGTCAGGCGAGGCACGATCTAAAATTAGACACACTAGAGCACCCCATTCCACTGCCTACCCAACACCATGTGAACCTTAAATCTCAGAGTGGGATACTTTGGCTGCCATTGGTATACCAGTTGGGATGCTAACCTAAAAATAATAAAAAGGATAAACACAACCTCCGATATACAACAAGAGCAGAGACAACGAACAAGGAAAAGGAGTCGTCCTCACAAAAGAATGAGATTTTAATGAACCTATAACCACACCACAGAGACAAAAATAAAGTGTACGCAAGAGAAAGGTAACAGTGCAAACAATATTTAATCGTAGAGAGAAAGACTATAAACCCATATACTACTCAAGATAAAAGTTGCAACAGGTAGAGAGGCCCAGATGTAATTGTTGCTGTTAAAAATAGCAATAACTATGGAAGGTTACCATTAGAAGAACTAAATTTAAACCGGACATAGGACGAAGGGTGTATTAATTAGAGAGTGGTTTGATGCATTACTTGCTTTCATCGGGGATGGGCAAAGGAGAAGTGAGGTTAACAGTTGAGTAATGGAGTTCGTTTGTGACTTACCCAAGCATATCTCGATCGCCACCAAACACCATTAATTAACTCCCTTAAAAAATCGCTCGTAAGCACCGAATACTACATGAGATAGCGAACTCATTTGAAGCCACTATTTTGTGTTTCAAATGGGAATCAAACCAAAAACATCAACAACAATCAATGTTTTCGTTGTGAGCAGCCCCTTCCTTCTCTTACCCCTACCCCCCTTCACTCAGCTTCACTCCTGCACACAGTCTGGATGGAATTATTCGCAGGTAAGTACTGCCCTGTAAATAATTTTTGTTCAACCCGGCCGCCGGCTCGCCCCCACCTAACACACACAAACCGCCTCTTCTAACCAACCAAACCCACACTCACACCCCACACGTCAGTTGTCAGTGTGACATTTCGTTTCCAAGCCGCTTGGATCAGCTTATCAGCTGATCTGGTGAGTGCTCTTAGCTCTAGCCACCGTCATCCCCGTTGGTATCACGGAAACTTTAACTCCGCCATGGCTAAATTCCACGAAGTAAAAACCTTTGAAGAATTCAAAAATGTGATTTCTTCCTTGCAAGACCTTGGAGTTCCAATTTTTGCCGAGTTTTATGGAGCTCATGACAGTGCTGGAAAGAGCTGGTGTCCTGATTGTGTGAAAGGTATGTTTTAGCGTTCTGATTCTCTTCAGTAATAATGACAAATTTTCCCAATCTACATTGCTTTCACAGTTGCTTTTTACTCTTTTGCAGCTGAACCAGTAGTGGAAGAGGTGATGAAAACTAGTGCAGCCAGCAATGCACATTTTCTTCATGTGTCAGTTGGAGATCGTTCTGCGTAAGTGTTTCATTTATTGAACATACATCTTACTTTCCATTTACTTTGCTCTCAATCTTATTTAGACAATTTCTTTCGAAACAGGTGGAGAGATCCAAACTGCTCCTTCAGGACTGATGCTCGCTTAAAGCTGACATGCATTCCCACTCTACTCCGATGGGGGACGTCCGAAAAACTTCTGGAAGAGGACTGTGCTATTAAGCAGAAAGTTGCTGATTTCATTGCAGCTAAGTGAATATTTCGTCAGGTTTTATTGGCCATTGGCCACAATGATTTACCAATGTCAAATTTTATACAAGCATATTATATTTTAAGTATCACAATCACTTATATCTAATTTCTTATACATTTTGTACATTACAATCGAATCTGAGTCCAGTCATGTGTGATGTATCTTATTTTAAACCATAATACATATACTTAAAAAGAATCATCTTACATGTGACACAGTTTGCTTTATATGGGAGCCCCAAGAACCAGGAGAGAGAACAAGCACTACGTAGATTGAAACCTTTAAATTATTGTGATGGTAAAATGTACTTTTCTAAAAAAAATTAGGGACTGTCTAAAAAAATCATCACATCTTTCTTTGGACACGGTTAAGTCAATTTAATTGTATCTTGTTAGACCAAGCAAACGGCAGCGCAGACCCTCTGAGACAGTTTTGCTTTGATATCTATCGAGTGTAGAGGCCGTGCAGGCCGTGCCATGCGCGGAGGCGGGGGCCGAGGGCGGACACAGTCACTCGTCTCAGGAGTCGCAGGGGCCTCAGCTCTAGGTCTAAGCGGCACAGGACCAGGCTGAGATGAACCTCATGTTTGAAGGGTTTCAAACCCAAGTCTCCGGCGTGGCCGCAAAAGCACCCGATCGACTCGTACTTTTGAACAGCTCCTCCGCGCCACCCTCGTGCTACTCGACTCCCTGTCGGTTGAATGAGAGCGACACTCGTGGCGTTTGTTGGAGGGAAGGTCGCGGGTCCCGCTGGGTCCGGCCCCAGACGCCAAAGGCGGCGGCACCGGAGCCAGGCGCCGCGGGCAGCCAGCAGCAGTAGTGACAGCTGCAGGAGGAGGACCAGCCGTCAGCCGGCCTTCTCGACCCGGTTGTCATTGACGTCGTCGATGATCTCGTCTAGGATGCCGTCCGGGTCGCCGTTGCTCGTCAAAGGGGGTGCCATGCCGATAGAGTAGTGCAGCCGTTTGCTGCGCAGGTAGCTGTACGTGTTGTCGAACAGTAGGGTGTCTGGAACCCAAGCCACGGCGATAAGCGGGTATATCACAGCATGACCCCAGGCTAGAGCGTACGCCACTTACATGTGCCGGGCGATGGGCAGGTGATGACCCCTATCTCCTCTGTCTGGTGCGAGTTGACGCGCTTCAGGGGTACCAGGGTGGTGCAGTTGCCGTCAATGTCCTTCATTGTTACCGAGAACTTGATGTCGTGGCCCTCCGTGCGGAACTCCCACCTGGAGGGGGAAAGCAGAGTTGACCACCGAAAGCGCCTAACCAAGAGCGGGTAGGCAACTTGCAAGGAACGACACCCGTGCGTTCGTGTTGCCTACCCACACTCCTGGCAGGGGCGCTGGCACCTATTAATGGCTTTAAGAGCAACCCATACGACCCTTTCAAGGAAAAATATTAAAACTTAAAACCCTTTGGGGGGAATAAATGAATTTCACATATTATAATTTCTTGCTCACTTGAGGAGGGTGCCCGTCTGCGCCGCAATGTACTCGAGCTTTAGCTTGCCGCCCATTTTGACAACGACAGTCTCCTCGGAGGGCTGGTCCTGAAGACGCGACATGTTTTGCTTCTTGAAGTACTCCTTGGGCACCTTGCCGCCTTGCTTGATCTTGGCGGAGCAGAGCGGGTCGCCGAGCGGGTCCTCGGCTGTGCCGCCGAAATGCCGGGGCAGCTGGCCGGGCTCGATGTTCTCGAGGAGGAGCGGCTGCCACTTGGCCGGGTCCCTGAGGATGTGGATCTTGCTCTGCGTGTAGTCGTTGAGGAAGTTCTTGACGACCGACCACGCGATGGCGAACACCCGGGGCGCTGCAATGAGAGTGCTCAGCTCAGGGGGCGCAGCTGCGTCCGGGACAGACGGAAGCTGGACGTGTCATTACCGTTAATGATGTAACAGTTCTTGAGGCTCTCGGGGTAGTTGGCCTCGTAGGTTTGCAGCAGGCTAACGACCACCTCACCGGCTGAAAAAGCCAGAGCAGAGCGGGTGTATGAGTATCGGGCGCGGCTAGGCGCAGCCGAGGAGGCGGTGGAGACAGTCCATAAGGACAGACGTACCCGGGCGCCACGCCCACTGGCGCAGGTTGAAGTCTGCCATGTCGATGATGGCGACGAGGCCCTCGGCGACGTTGCCGCGCTCGCGCGCCTGCTGCTGGCTGAGGTGCTGGTAGGTCTCCATCTGCTTGAGGGTCATCTGGATGAACTCGCGCTTGCTGCACGCGTGCAGCAGGCCAAAAATGTCGATCCCCGCAAACGGCACCACGACCACTGCAGAGGGTTTGAGTTGACCATCACCACAGAGTCAGTTTAAAATAGACAAGAAATGGAATCGCCGTAAGGGCCGTAAACGACCGTCGGCACGCGTACCGGGAGCGCCGTCCTTGTCGAAGCCGGAGAGTCCGCTCGGGTAATACTTGTCCAGC